ACATAAACATTCGAATGTGCATTTTCATATAAGAAGCTGTTGTGGTTAAGTTCTAAACAGTAAAAAAACGGCATGAGGGGTCTATGGACCCCCGGTCGGAACGAAGTTCCTTTCGAGTTTAGAATAGAATAAAAATATATTTTATCTTATACTCGTATAGTATATTACATTTTTATTAAGATTTTTATTAGGAATAGTTAAGTTATGGTTACTAAGTAGGTGATTTGGTAGCAAAAAATAGGTATGGTATAACGTGTCAACGTTTGAACTCAATCGGTGCAGAAATTTTAGAGTTTTAGAAGCATACACAAAACAACTTAATATTTTTATATACTTACGAGTATATAAATTATATATGTATGATGTATGATGGCGACTCTATTGCTACAAAATCAAAACTTTTATTTGCCTGATAGGTTTATCTAAAGCTACGGTTGTACATATGTTGAACGGAGAATGCTCCTGCTAATCCTTAGTTCTGCGGTTCCGGTGCATACACTCCAGGACACTACCCTAAAATTCCCAAAGACAAAGTTTATGTGACTCTAAGTCGCGTAAAGATGGTGTTGCCTTTTGGGATTGAGAGCCACACAAAGCACAAAAAAGCAACGATTAAGACGAATTGTAAATATTTAAATTAGAACACTAAGATAAGCTAGGTATGTACTGCAGGTTGCTAATCCAACCCTCAGCTTTGCATGTCTTTTCTTTCCTGTACATTACATGTTACTATGTCGGCATCTTAAAGTATCATCAACTCCTAACCATTAAGGAGTTTTACCTTCCATCATCAGCTCACCTGAATAACTTGAAAGAATACAACTAAAAGTTTTAACATACATATGGTATTTAAAGAACTATCCTCCAACTCCTAACCGTTTAGGAGTTGTACCTTCTATCACCAGCTCATCAACACGAGATAATGACTACCAGACGCAATTACTAGAACAGCTTTAGAAAATATGTAAAACACAATATTTTCCTATAAAATTTGGAGGATTGTCCTCGACTTTACTGGGATCCCCCCATCAGATCCCGACTTCGTGACAAAGAGAAAAGACAAAGTGACTACATCTGGACTATACTCATTCTACTAAAAAATTTTTTTTGGAAATCGGTCTATAATTAACGGAGTAATCGGTGAACATACAAAAAAAATACATACAGTGGAACATAGAGCCTCCTTCTTTTTAAAGTTGGTTAAAAAACTCTGCGATGGTAGGTATATGGCTATCTCCTAAAGATAACCCACAGTAACCATTTTTATCTTGCAGCGGCAGGCAGGATCAGAGCGGGCCTATAAATATTGCATAAAAGATGTCCTGTGGTTTGAGCTATGAGCTATGATTATTTAAATAATGAGATTCAGAAACTGGAAAACCGATAGCGATTACGAAAAGTTTTTTTTTATTTTTTATTTAAATAAAAAAAATCGGTACGTAAGCTTTATGATACCACATAACGTAATTACGTTAACGTTTAATACGTTATGTAACGTATTTAATACCGTATTAAATACTTAATTTGACATATTTAATTGGATAAGGAATAATAACGTATTCTATAAAATAGTTTCGTGAATAAGCCATTTTTTTTTTTGTAAAATTATAAAGATAAAAATGGTTACTGTAATTTATCCTTAGGATATAGACATAAACCATTGCGGACTTTATGAAGATCTTTTTAAGATATACAATTCCATAATACATTATTTTGGTCTATCTTACATGGTTTAGCCAGCGTGTGCAATGTAAGCGAACAACATGTTTTTTATCACAAATATTTGAAATTTTCGGATATTTTCTACTATAATATGCATGTACTCGTATTATACACATAAACCTTCCTCTTGAATCACTCTCTTTAGATGAAACTACGGTAAAATCCGTGGCTTAGATCTTTTAAACTAAGCAAAGGATTTAACGATTGCGTGTGTGCGTGAGTGCGCGACTTGCGTGATATAGCAAAAAGTTTCGGCAAAAAGTATTGTTACACATTTTTCGGTCTAGCTCCCATCCGTTCAGAGCGTGTAACGCGCGTTAAGGCACTTTGTTCCAATAATAAAAAAAGTATAATGTAATAACAAAGAAGAAATAAATAAAGTAATGTTTACATCTCTAATCAAGAATTTGATTTATTTTATTTTGATAATTATTCTTATTTCGTTTCAAATCACAGAACCGACCAACGCACAAAAACAAACATCCAACAGTACTAACCCCACTACATACCGTACCGTAATAACTGAATCCTTAACTCGAAAGGACAAAAAAACTCATTTGTGCCCGACATGTTATGAGATTAAACCGCGTGAGTTCGGATATGTTCGCAACGTTATGTTGTTTATACGTAACTGAAGTACGTGTGCATGTCTCTAATTAACTTCAACTTTATAGCCCACGATTGCTCTCGACGCTACTATAAATATTCAAATACTGGCTATTTTCTAAACATATAACCGTTCACCCCTTATTTTACGCCCTCAGGGTGAAATTACCGAAAATACTTTCTTGGATGGTTTTAACATCAAAAGCAACAGCTGCCAAAATTTCAAGTCTGTAACCCAACCGGTTTATACATAAATTTATTGAAAAATATGTGTATAAATTACATGCATCTTGTGTCGAGGTTTGGATTTCCCGGTAATAGCCATTTCGAGTTAAAAATATGTGACCACTTCTAAAAAAAGTTGCTTTCACTTCAAAATCCGTTCTTATAAGCAATATTTCTTTCAAATTGAACGCCCAAAATTTTTAGGTCCTATTTCTATAATCCCCGGTTGACAGCAATAGTTTTGCCTCCTAGTACTTAAGTAGGACTAAATTTATGGTCTGCCGGGTCTGGACACTTAACTACACTAGTAGACAATCATTATTACTTTCAAATTAATCCGTGGAACTATAAAACTTCCAGGCTTGTCTAGCTTAAGCTTAACGGTGTCTAGAAGGACACCAACGTTTCAAGACTACGAGGACTACTAATTAACTAGACCTGAAGCATATTTTATCTTTAATTATTTCTGTGGATTTTTGATGTTATTTTTCAAAATTATTTAACAAAAATTAAATAAATTCAAATGTCAAATAATAATTAAAATAATTATTATTTGACAAAAATATAGCAAGCAAAGAATCAAATTTAAATTGTGAACAACTGAATACCGACTATTGAGAACTAAATTCATTAAAACTAGCGAAGCGCCCTAACGAAATTTTAGTACCGAAAATAATTTTTGTTCTCCATCCGAACGTTTCTATTACGGCATGTACTTTGGGGGCTCATGTTATACTTTTATTTAAAAATAAATCTTCCAGACGAATTAAAAATACAACAAAAGGTATTAATCACGTGATCCATACTAATATTATAAATGCAAAAGTGTATCTGTTTGTCTGTTGGGTAACAGACAAACAGATCACGCTTAAACCGCTGAACAAATTTAGATGAAATTTGGTACAAAGATCGTCCGAGTCTCGGGAAAGGACATAGAGTAATTTTTATCCCAGAAATCAACCTTTAAGGGTGTGAAAAGGGGAGTGGAAGTTTATATGGGGAATCAAAAATCACAGAACCGATTTAGATGATATTTGATATGAAGATACTTTGATTCTTGAGGAAAGACATAGGCTATTTTGTACTACGATAACCGATATACTAGTACAATATAAAATTCCAATCCTTTAGCATTATGACCTGAGCGCTTCTTCATTTATATAAGAAACGAGTTTAATTTATGATGTTAATGAGTTATGGGTTGCGAAATAAAAATAATATTTTCAAAATAGGTGAAACTAATACTAGAAACTAGTAACTAATACTGAAACCAAAGGAAACAATACTATATAAACCAGTTTCATTTCCTTTGTTTTCATATGTGAATTGCTTTTACAAATATACGCTCTGCAATATAAGCAAAACATTGTAAACTATAGTCACGTTCTAAATGCTTATATTATCCTAACGTTTTAGTCGAGTTGGGGATTTCGCTAAGCACTAAACGGTTTAGCGCTCAAACACGTTCACTATATTGTACGGGGAACTTTTATGTTAAAAGTTGAAGGTACATCCTCTCTGAAGTAATGACATTTTGTCGGCACTTACGAGGCACAGAATTCTGTTCTGGTGGCGCATAATAGTCACTTCTTGACCTCGCTAGGGTTGTGATCTTATCTTTTTAACTAAAATAAAATTAACTTCATATGTTAACAGAAAGAAATTAATTAAAAAAAACAAATCAAATATGTATTTTTACCAGTAGAGTTTGTTGCAAAATATTTTTTATTGACAGCTTAAATAAAAAGTTACTTTTATTACCCACACAAAAATTATCTAAATAGGTTGCGGCCGATATTAGTCCGAACAATTCCTCGGAGCACTCCCCATGCTCCATGAGAATGCAGTTTATAAATACTTAACTTCCTTATTACATTTTTTTGATATTTTAAACTTTGCTTTTAGCGTGGGTACATTACTAGGGGTTAATTAATCTAGTTGCCTCCATTATTATTTTCTTTCTTTAACTACTTACGTACTTTTGAGTATTTGAGCTTTATTATTAAAGGACCTCTCAGGCGCCATCCTACTACATATGATGAATTTATCATTACTTTGTAAAATGTATGTACCATCTTTACACAACCCAGAGCATAAATTCAATATTCGTTAGTAAACATCAGTATATAAAAATATTTACCTTATAACTTAGGAATCGTAATTATTCATTCATCATTTATTTATCCATTCAAGTCTCTAAATACATTCTAAAGAGAGTAATTGTTTACTGTGTTATTCCTAGGATTGATATTAAATCATAAATTTGGCACTAACTGAAATATGTATAGAATGATAATTAACTGAAGACGTTTTGTAAGTAAAAGTAAAATGTATAACTGTAAGTTATATGAACGAGTAAGTATATTATACTTACTTGTTTGTATATCACTCTTCCAAACTTAAAATTGAGTTCAATTTTTATATAAAAAGTAATATTTTGTTCACAGCTGCGCACAAGGAGATTACCTGAAAGTATACTCAGAAGGCGGTGTCCACGGGCCGGGACCTCCTGGAGTGAACGAATATTCTGCATGGTCGAGAATCCTGTGTGGTAGTAGAGTAGATACTCCACCAGCTTTATACTCCCATGGACCTTTGTTGGTACTGGAGTTTCACACAGCCACTAAGGCAACCAATGCGACGGGTTTTGTTGGCAACTTTAGATTTATAGACAGAAGTAAGTTGTTGTCGTGCATTATCCAAACAGGCTTTCAGCATTTTATATCTCAACCATATAACTTCAACAGCTTAAGACGGTAAATTAATATAAGAGATACATATTAAATACGGACAGGATACCATGCAAAGCTTTAAATTTCTAGAGAAATTTGAAGATTATTCTCGCGTAAAGTAAGTTCTCTTAAATAAATAAGATGCATTAAGTCCGCCTTATGCAATATATTTGCAGGAAGACTCAATAAATAAATAAATATTATATTTAGAGCATCCGATGACTGCATGTATAAAAATTGGAGAAAGTTGAAATATTTTAACAATGTGTTCAGCACACAAAGGGAAAATTCACGGAAAAAAACGGCGTCATAAAATTATAGGAGACCAGCTATTTAAGTTATATATACTAATTAGTAGTAATTACATTACTACTACCTTCAAACCTTCAAGAGAAGGGCGTACTCCTTCTTAAAATCCGGCAACGCACAAGTGACTCCCGAGTTGCAAGCGTTCATGGACGGCGGTAGTCGCGTTCCATCAGGTGACCCGTCTGCTCGTTTGCCCCTCTTCCATAAAAAAAACATTTTAATGAAATTAAAAAAGACTTTTAAAATATCATTCCAGGCAATCTCTTGTAATACTAATCATTGTGTCCTTATAGGACCACATAGTTCGGTTTGATGACACTTTAAAAGAAGTTAAATGAATGTTGATCCTGTAATATTTTCTTTATTGTATGTCGTTCATTTTTATTACAGTAATTTTTGGGACTAATTCGAAGCTGTCTGTCTCTGTCCAATACAATCAGCGCCCGGTCTGGTTAGCGTAAATGTACCATTAATTTTGCCAATGTTACAAATGACTTGAATAATGACAGTGCTAAATAAATGATTTAAAAGCATCTAGGATTTCCCTGATAAATTGATGTAAATCTATGTAATTTAATTGTCTTATAAATTAGATATAGATCAGTTGCTTCAATAAAATAGTACTGCGAGGAAGTTTCGGTTATCGCGTTACAAAAAAATCCCATGTCTTTGCTCAAAAATCTAAATATCTCCATATCAAATTTCATCTAAATCGGTTCAGCGGTTATTGATTCAACATAGAAACTTTTACCCTCTTTTCACCCTCTTAAAGGATGATTTCTACGATAAAAATTACCCTATGCCCTTTCCTTTCACGGGACTCGGACGATCTCTATACCAAATTACATTTAAATCGATTCAGCGGTTTAAGCGTGAAGAGGTAGCAAACAGACAGAAAAACAGACAGATAGACAGACACACTTTCGCATTTATAATATTAGTATAGAAAAACATTTTTTAAATGTATCAGCAATAGCAGAGCTTTAGGAGCTGATTTTTTTTGAAAAATGAGTAGCTTCGCTTTGTTCATTATTCAATTAGAATAATAATATTTACATTTGTAAGAGCAACAAACGTGTCATTTTAAGATTTATTGACATTAAATCTTATGTTTAATTTTAGACGCCGTTAAGATCCATTTCTTACAAACAAATCAAACATTTTACTCACGTACCGTATTGAGTCCTACCCGTTGATATCTGAAGTTTTCCAATTTTATAAAACTTGTGTGTCTGTTGCTAGGAAATTTCGAGACAGATGGCGTTCGAGTTCCAGAGACGTGGTGCGATTATTTGTTTCACTCACAGCCAAACAGGCCGGCTCACGGAAGATTGTACAGCCCTCGGTATCCTTCTAGTTATCCTAGCAATGTGAGATGCACTTACCATTTTAATGGAAGGTAAGACATTTCACAGTTTTTAATTAGTAGAGAGACTTAGAAACTTTAAATTTATATAGTGAATTTAAAAAAAAAAACAAAATGTACTATATTGTTTTTTTTTTAATGTAAGTAATAAGTAAGCAAATTTGATAAAATATTATAAAAATACCATTCACATTAATAAAATGATCTTGTTTTAAAATTTATTAATTATCATATTTAGTTGCCTATAAAGTTTAGATTTACTTATTAAGCCAGGCCGAACCACTTCAAAACTAACCCAAAGGATTAGCCTTTACCCAAGGTTAGTTTTGAAGTGGTTCGGCATACATTCCTACAATAATTGTAACAAATGAACTTTGTTTGTAACATACTGAAGCAAGACTTATTATTTTAGGCAAAGCGAACGGATCAAGTTAGTTTTCGAAGAATCGTTCCTTCAGAAAGGCGACGAGAGGTATTTACTTGATGGTTTTTTTCATATGATGCAGTTCAAAATCCTAATAATCCTACAGTTCTTTATTTAAAAGACACATTTTTTTAAAGTCCGTGTTTTTAAAACAGTATTTAATTCTATTGTGAAAATGTTACTTTTTTACAGTTGTTTGTGTGACTTTTTTTATTAAACTTATTAGGATTTTGATATGGTACCATTTTATAAAGGATTGCTTGCTTTGCCCTCTCGTGTTATAACTTTTGAACTTTTCAGTTGCCTCAATCGTGCAGATATAATAAAAGTATTTGACGGACGCACTACATCAGCGCCAGTGCTGGCCTTGTTGTGTAACGAAGTTGTTGGTAAGAATCTCTTCAAATAGTAATTAAAAAAGACATAAGAGAAAATGTTCAATAGTGAGTTAGAAACTTTCAGATGTGTAACATTTACTTCTTGCTTTCCTACAATCTGTAAAAGTGATTTCGTGAAAAGGGTCAGCGAGTTGACCATCAGATGTAGTTTAAATGTCAGATAGTATGTAATACATAAGATAGGATAGCTCTAAAACTCGTCCTTTTTTAACTTGCAAACATTTGAAGTCCAAATTGATTACTTTAGACTTCAATAGCTTCACAATAGCTTCATACATTTCACACACGGCCGTCTGGTACCAAACTAGGCAGAGCCTGTGCTATGGTAACCAGACTGCTGATAAATTTACTTATATATTTTTAAATACATACATGTCGTAGATAAATTACACCCAGACATAGAACAAATCATAGTGATCAACACACAATTATTTGCCCTGCGTGGGAATCGAAACCACGACCGCCGGCTTAGTAGTCAGGGTCACTAACCACTAGACATACAGGCCCGTCGATGTACCTTATCTTTTTTTTTACCCGTAATAATGAAATAAGAGACTACAACTTATATTCTTACTAGGTGCTAAAATACGGTTCGAAACAAAAGATATGACTAGATATGTTTATGATATTATTTGAGTTAGACTGATACGGATTTTGCTATCTTACCAACTCACATTCAAAATGGCACAAACAAATATTCAAAATGGCTGATTGAGCCCTTATTAAAATTAACTCAAACTATACTTATTCAATGTATAGAACTATTTAAACTGTGTTATTAGTTCGCCTAACAAAACGAACAACTGTATTTCCGGGTTATATTTGTTTATTAGTTTGGAGAATACGTTCTTGTAACAAATGAAATCTTAGTTAGAGCAAATCATTTACGTACGATTACTATGTTAATCTCTTAAGACTTAGTTCGGTTAAGTTAGCCTCAAGTTTAAGCCGTGTTATGATTTACTTTGATACTAATCAACTATTTTAGGTTCTGAAAAGTACTTGAATTCTGGTAAGTTTCTAACACTATAAAACTAAATTTGATTATAGTATTGAAAATAGATAAAAAAATAGGGGTAACGAAGTAAGTGAATTTTTAAACATATTTTTGTTACAGAATGGTTATGACAGCCAAATTTGAGTGTCCTATAAACCTAATACTAAACTCTCTCTTAAGGCGTTTAAAATGACGACTGTTTTAGCACTTATTAAATATATATGATCTATATGTATACAAAACTACATATATTTATAAGCATTTGGCAGTCATTGAGCCTACCTACTGTATGCAAGTGGGCTCGGTACGACCATGTAAACGAAAAGGTAAAATGTATTGAATAAAGCTACTGCTAAGCTACATAACAATTATTGTTTTTTTTAGTGTTAAGAATAGGTTTAGCAGTTGACTCTGTGTCTGTATAGGTCTGTCTTGATGATTAGATCGTGATGATTATTGTATGTTTCAACATTGATATTATACTTAACTGCAAACAATAATTATACATATACATTTATAAACAAACGAAATTATTAAACAGAAAGAAAGTTTAACCTAGCTATGTTTCAAAATAATTGCTTTAATAATTAAGCACCTAAATGATTTATTAAATATTACGCAGGTTACGAGATACTGTCTACCGGGACGGATTTAATGGTTCAATTCACGGCCAACTCCAATACTCCGGGTCAAGGATTCAAAGCGAGCTACCAGTTTCAAATGGACGATGATACTAATTCAGGTTTAGTGAGCTGCTAACTAGCATAGGATATAGACGTACTTAGTTTATTTTTTTATTTTTTTTATTGAAATGTATTTTAATATACTCATGTCATTTATTCATTTATTGTTTTACCGGTTTTGTAAATACAGGGTTAAAAAATTATACCTATAATAATTTTTACAATTTATGTACACCTGGTACTTAAAATAGCTTATCTAAGCTATCTAAGTACCAGTAACCTTCTAATGGCACATTTTTACAATATGGACATACTATTTATTACATGTTGATAATATATCTAATGCTGAACTACAACCTAGAACAATAAAATAGTAATAAAAAGGCTTAAAAGGTTAAATATAAATATTCAAATACATTATTTGTAAAACTTTTGAGTGCTCTTGTGTTCATGTGATTGTGTATGTATACCATGTGTAAGTGTTAAATATCCAAGTTAAAACCAATGGCATTGTAACATTCTGGTACAAACTACTCAACAAGTAACAAACTAGTTTAGATGTGTTCAAACGTCTATCGCGATTGTGACTCTCTGATAAATTTTACTAATACACATTCAACTAATTAACCTGTTACTCGTAGTTACGTGTCTATCATAATTGTTATAACACCTAAACTAAAGAATCACTGTAAAAATTATAAAAAAAGTCGCAGTGAAATCGTCAAAGGTACATCCAGAGGCCCTTTTAATTTAAAAGTTTTAATGTCCCATAACTCAGGCGGTAATTTTGGATATTACCGCAAGCCATTCTGATTTCCCTGAAGGCAACCATCACCTAATAGTTTCATATTAAAAGTGATGAAATTAATAATTTGAGGTTTTAAGTTCTAAATAGATATGACGATTGAATGTGTTTGTATATTCATCTATTATAAATCTGTTATTTTCTGACCAAGTTTATAGATACAAGTTGGGTTTTTTAATCATATAAATAGTGTATTGAATTACTCTGATCTTGAGAATGTCACCGAAAGATTTGATTAGATAAAATAAAACGCTAACATGTTTTAGGAAATTTCCTGATTTTAATACATAAACTTATTTTGAAAGAGACGAATTAAACTGAAAAAACAATGGCTGATAAAAGTTTTATGATATTACTGCCAAATGTGCCAAAAAAATTATAATTAACCTGAAAAAACACACCACTTTGAAAACCCTGTATATTAGACGGGATCAACAGATAAATAGATCCATTTATGAAGCACTAAAGCACTGTTTAATTTTCTCCAATATTCTAATGAATATTAAATACAAAAAATACTTTATTCGAAGATATTGTCAGAATTATTTCAACCTGTTTCAGACAGGGACTATTGCGATTTATACTCGTTAGAGAAGTATTTTTGAAGCTTTCCCAACAATGTCGCCAGTGTACTGAAAAATATACTACTATATATATTCAAATTTTAATAAATTTATATTTTAAAATGCCAATAGATTTTAAGGTTCATGTATGTTATCATTCCTTTTCGTGTAACTTATAACAAAGAAAATTAAAAACCTATGAACTTTTTCTTTAATGACCTCTAAAAGCGATTACTCAGTGATTATTCAACGAGAGAATAGCTTAACATATGTTTAATTTTTAGTTAGAAAACCAGGCATTAATTTTCATCAAATTTAAATATAAAATTAATTATCGTACGTCTTTAAAAAAAATAAAGCTTATGTTCTTCTCGTGAAAATGACGAGTAGTAAAGGATGAAAAAATATTGATGGTGTGTTATCAAATTGAAAGATGTTTATGTTGACAGTTACATTTTTAGAATAATTTAAACATTTTCATCATCCACAATTTTTTACAATACGTAGAAAAATCACTGAAAAACAATGAGGATACCCTACAACAGTTTTTATTTTATATTAATTTAATTTTCATTACGATCTCAAAAACAAATCTCTTTCTCAGATGGAGATATTAATAAGAAATCAACCACAACGGAGGGAATATCCGGCTTAGGACCCGCTGTAAGCGCGGCCAGTAAGTATTAAAATAATGCCACCATTTAAAAACACTGTTCCAGCGTTTTCCAAAGCAAAGATCCCTTACATATATTATAATTGGAGAGGTATTTTAACAATAAATTGGTATTGAATTCAGCAAATTTCGCCAATATTCGAGATATGGTTTTATTTCTTTTCAAATTGAATTCGTATGAATCGATAAGTTTAGAAAATCCTGAAATTAAGTACTAGCATTTACCCGCGGCTACGCTCACATTAAATTCATTTCGATTATTCATTGGCAAACATTGCTATGGTAACCAGACTGCTGATAAAAAAACACTTATATATTTCTAAATACACACATAATTTAGATAAATTGCATCCAGACATAAAACAAATTATCGTGTTCATCATACAATTATTTGTTCCGGGTTGGAATCCAACCCAACCTCCGGCTTAGCAGTCATGGTAGCTAACCACTACACCAACAGGCCCATAGAGACTGTAACCTATTTCTGTAACAAATTTTAAATAATTTTGTTAAGTCGTTCCAGCGTAATTAAATAACAAATATTGATCCATCAAATTTATAATATTAAGATGAAAGAAAAATAGCAGCCTATTTGTTAACAGAGTAACATAAATGAAAATAACCCTTTAAAGTATGACTATTTTAGTATGGTACACGATACTTTTAGTATTTATATACATGAATTCTCAGCGGATAAAATCGCCTTTGGGCACCCTAAGACAGCAAAAGTGGCCGTACCCTTGTGAAAACACGTTGTTGTTTCCTTTCAGTATTCTGCCGAGATAACACTGCTCGGCTCTGTTTATATGTCTTCATCTGATAACCATAGCATAAAGTTAACTAATTTCCAATCTTAATGGGTTTACCATTACTAGATATCAAGATGGTAAATTTGGTTCACAGCACTACTGGAGTAAGTCGTAAATTTGGTTTTCAGGGGTTAGAAAAGGTGACTTCATGGCTGATCGACCTATACACATTTAAATAAATATAGTACCAGTATTATCTATAAGCTAAGATATAAAAACCGAAGCGTTTGTAATGTTATTATGTGTATTTCAGCATCGTCTTGTCACCAAGTATTCAGCAGTGATAAGAGCAAGACGGGTAAATTAATATCGCCTCTATATCCCTCGCCGTATCCTATGAAAACGCAGTGTCATTATGACTTCCTAGCCAGAGGAAGAGAGCGAGTGAGGCTCGTGTTCGAAGATTTCAGTTTGCAGAGAATCTCAGAACATATTATTGAGTGAGTTTAAAATACATAGTGTCATTGTGATATTGTTTATTAATTGTCATTTTTAAGATTATGGCCAATTCTAGAAGATATTTTAAATATTGGGTAATGTTATTCTTGACTGTGGCTAAACTACAACTTTAACTTTAACTATTTTTTATACTTTTAGATTTAATGTACAAAAATACATCATTATAAATTAAACTATATTTTAAGCAACTCATGAGAATACAGCTGGACGGTAAAGGTTTAAATGTTGAGTTTATTTTAGACATTTATAATAAGCAACTTACTGTTCAATAGTTTTATGTTAGAGGATAACAGTATTTTAATATTGAAAACATATTGTTATAATACCATAAAAATATCTCCATATTTTTATAGTAGTCCTACTACTTAGTCTAATAATGACGTACATAATAAATTTATGAAAGCTTTTTTAAATTACCAAGGACGAATGATCAATAGGACACACAAAAGCCGTAAATAATGTATGAACAAAAAGAAAATAAAACACTCCAAATGATGTCGAATAAGCAAATTCACTTTGTTACAGTTGCGAGAGTATGGATTCTCTCGACGTATTTTTGTATGTAGATGGACGTCTCGAAAAGATGGCATCATTTTGCGGCAACGATATACCAAAGCCAATAATGTCCAATGGACCCAAGTTATCTATCGAATTCCGTGGGATATACTCTTCGAGACATGCCAGGGGGTTTAAGATATCATATTCTTTTGTTGAAGGTAAGTTTTCTATTCATCTTAATTTTGTATATGCGGTTATGCATTAGTGTTGTGTACGCTATGTGATCGGTACAATTACGTTCGGGTTTTAAGACCATGTAAGTTGTGACTTTTATCGTTCCCGTCATCCGCAAGTACCGAATTATTTTATTTACCCTGTTATTTTTTACTGTTTGTTATTTAATAGGGAAGTTTTGTATTTTAAATAAGTATCGTTTATTGGCGTATTTTATAATGATCATTAAATGATTTAGAGGTATTTTTTTTTATTTTATTCATAAGACAACTACTAGGAATATATCCTGTGTCAAACTTTATAAACATACAAGAAATGGACACAAAGAACACCCAGACTCAGAACAACAATTTATGGATCACACAAAGTGTCGTCCCATGTGGGGTTTGAACTCACATGGGACGACACTTTTTGGGGAGTTGACCACTTAAACCACTACGCCATCCGTGCAGTCATATAATTAGAGTGCAGGTATTATTATATATATTATAAAAATTGAGTACTTTGAGACTTTGTGTAATCCACAAATAGTTGTTCTGAATGTAGGTGTTCTTTGTGTTCGTTTCATTATGTTTGCAAAGTCCCCCATGACACAAGATATATTCCTAGTGTGTAAATTCATTCAGTGCAATGCTATACCTAAATGTAATGCACCTTTGTGGTATTGTATGATAGTATATGTTTTGATTAATAAAAAAATATCACAGCTTCCAATGCTGTGGTAGGATAAGTACTTTTCATTAATGGTATTCGCCCTACCGATTCATAATTCTACTGCTAGGATTGCCGGAACGTGGCTTTGTTATTTACCAATAATAAATTAAATTACCAGTGACAATCTATATGGGCAGTCAGTACTCTCACAACTTCTAATTAAGACGTTCCGACCACATACGTAGGTGTTGGATTAGACAGATTAGAAGCCGACACTAATTAAGTTCTTTAACCTTGACATACTAAAAAATTATTGTCATCATTCCTGGTTTAGAGCAACTATCATTCAATTGATATTAATTTCACACTAAATATTATAAGTGTCATCCTTCTCTACGCATAACAGATTATTTATATGACAAAAGTTTTCTCATTGATAAATTAAATTAAAACAATTATTACTACAAAAATGCTATTACAGCGTCAATGAATATCTGAGCAATCAATAAATTAAGCATGTACATAAAAAACTGAAGTATGATTATTGTTATTAGTTTGTATTATCTCTTCCTCTCTCTCATCTATTGATTTGCCCGACAGGGTCCATGATGATCTGATCATATATTTGAGTACCATCTAAGTAAACATTGTGGAATGCAATAAATATATTGAGTATTGATTTTATGAGTCATTTTTTGTAATAAGAAAGAGCTGGAAAATTATTACAACGTGTCAGATGTTACGTTACTTCATACTAAATAAAATAAATAATCTCAAACAGGTATATTGCTTTAATGTACCTCTTTGAGAAGCTTATTGGCACGATGTTTTCGTAACCTATGTCCACTATATCATCGCAAACTCGTCTTTCTTCGTACTCTAAATATATTCCAAATTTAAGTATCAAAGTAGAATAATTTGATTTTCAGATTACGGAATCGCTACGGGGAGACAACTTTTAGAATTCCCATGTGCCTTTGTATATAATAGCAGTGAGAGAAACAAAGGTGTGATGACATCACCGAATCACCCCGGCCTCTATCCACGGGATACAGAGTGCAATTACTTCTTCTATGGAAATGAAAATGAAAGAGTACATTTACATTTCACTTATTTCGACGTTGAAGGTGTGGTCCCGTAAGTACATTTAAATAGTATTCGCTTTTCTAAGTTGAGAGGAGCTCATTGTTATTCAACAGATGAAGTTTTTTGGAAAATCTTTCTAATTTGCGGTGTATTCATTTAGGTCACTTTGTATTTTAGGAGAATTAAATAAAATTAACTCAGTACAATGAGGAAAACATATATATAGATATATTCTTTAAACGTGTGTTTTCCTGTGTGTTATGAGTTTTCCCTGAACTGTATCTTATACGTAAGGATGATTAGTACTTTACTTTTATTTCCAATTATAAGCACTTTTTCAGAATTCTTTTATGGCGTAGAGGGCAAAGGAATTTGGTCACCTGATGGTAAATGACTACCCCTGCCCCAGAACATCTGCAACTCAAGTGACACAAGTGCGTTATTAAATCCCCCTCTCAGAGTTAGCTCTTCAAACAATCTTTTGTGTTCGTAAATTGTCTGATTATTAAAGTTGTTAAAGCCGAGGTTTCTAGTGAGGACCAGAGTGAGAGTCACTATTCTACATTTGCCTTTATTTATTTTCACAGATGTGAAGCAGTATCAGCTAGTGACTACCTCCAGTTTTCCCATCAAATGATTGAAGCACAAAGTCACAGATATTGCGGACAAATCAAAGAGCTACAAGTTACTTCACAAAAGAACTTTTTAAGGATTACTTTCAGGTCTAATGACCGGTTGGATGGTACAGGGTTCAAAGCCAACTACATATTCTTGAGAGACTCCGAAATAAATAGTATGACTATGCCAAATACTATAGATACAGGTATGCTAAATGTCACTAAATAACAACTTTGATGTTTTAAAATCTAAAATATAAAATTTGCGTTAAAAATATCAAAGTAGTAACTGTTAACGTGAACCGTATATGCAATACATCATTATTTGAATTTGGATGAATAGAGGTGGTAAGACACCGTTTCATGATCCGCCACCACACGGACGGTGTCACATAAGGGCCTTACTGAAACATTAAAAGCAGTTATTATATGAGTCACCCCTTAACTAGAGAACCTCAACCAATATTACAGTTTCGTGTGTTATTGACCCCCCGAACACGGTCGGGAAAAATTTGCGTTCAGTAAATATTCAGCTCTAACATACGAGCAAAATAACAAAAGATTTTTTTCTTTATTTATAACAAAATACTACAACAACTATCAGTTGTAATAATCTAATACATTTACAATTGTTTCAGGTACTACAAATTGTATGTCTAAATATTTAATCTTGGTATGTTTGTGCCAACTTCTATTGAATAGCAGTTGAAGGAGAACCTTTGTAACAAAAAAATAATGTAATAAAATAAAATATCAATGTTACTAAAAGAGTTTTATTTACTCTGTATAAGTACTTGAATTTATAGATACCTAAGTATTTTACATAAACCATCCAAATGCATGCACTTCAGGCCACAGACATAGAGTGTAATTTGCATAGATTTACACTGCCATATTAATTTTCACTTTATATGTTATTATAAACGGGGTAATTAGTTACCATGTTTATTTTCGGAAACTAGTTTCCCATATTTCTGCACCGTTGCAAGCGCCATGATCACGGATGAACTGGAGTTCTAGGTAAATATCCCGTTTATAATAACAAGAAGAGTGAAGGTGTCGTAAATTACTACAAGTTTTAATTAAATAATAACTACAGATATTTTTATTTATCTTTTATTTATTTTACAACTTCATGCATAAAAACATGCAACGGCGGACTTAATGCCTAAGGTATCCTGTACCAGTTCACCGATTTAGTGATGCAGAAAAACGATGAGGTAGGTGCACTTGTAGGGAGGTAATATTCGACATATTCACGTCTTTATCTCCAAAGGGGTAAATAGATTAAACGTGCACATTTTGAGGACTATACTTTTAATCTTAGGTACTTATAAAATATACTATTAATATACTTAAGGTATATTATATATTTTGAAATAAACATACTCTCTTAAATACATAGATCTATATATATATATAGATATAGATATATATATATATAAAAGAAGAAACTGACAGACTGATTAATCAATCAACGCACAGATGAATCCGATGGGTGTAGGGTAGCTGTTGTTGATCGAAGGGTGTAGGACCAATTTAGCACAAGGTGACTTAGGTGTACACAAAGACATCAGGGACTTCCTTTCTAGGGTATACCTGGTTCCGCGGCTATTAGTACCCGAGACGGCGTGTGGTTTTAGTCGGTTCGAGTCCGACATGCCACCGATAGGTGGTATCCAAGGGGATTTCCACACGGAAAAAAAAGAAAAAAAAAGGTGTACACACAGAGAGGATTATTCGTTATTTTTGGTAGTAGCGTTTTCAAACTCACAATAAATATCTTTATTAAAAGTAATAAAAACGTGTTACTAATATTTCAAAACTAGTCTTAAAAACGGTTGCAAGTTAGTATTTGAAACTATATTTTTTTATCCTATCGATCCAAACTCTTAGTAAAATTAATATTCTAAAAATAATTAGACACATTTTTTAAACTTTTCAAAACATAAGTATGTTTGTTACTCAATTACGCCAAAATGGTTTACCGGATCTAAACGAGATTTGGTACATAGATATACTATATTCTAAAATAGCACAAAGCACAATCTTTGATCAGGATAGGAATCGTACCGACGAACTCTGGGTTAGCAATCAGGATCACTAACCACGAGACCAAAAAACCAGTCTAAATATTGTACTTAAAAAAACTTGTGCTTTAAAATAATACTATCTTCTGCTGAAGAAATCGTGTTGAACGGAAGTTATATTTCAATGGCATTTGTTAACTTTAAGGTAAACTTAGTTTTGACTTTCCTACACCTGCTAGTCTATGAAGCAGTTTTTGATAAGATAAAATACCTTCTTTCATAATTTAAAACCCACGAGATTTAAAAAAAACACAACCAACCAACCTAGCGTTTATTAAATTTAATACAAGGTTTCATTAGGTTAAAGTACAACAATTGTAAGCTAGAATAAACATTTTGATTTAGTTTGCAAGATGATGATGACTACCAAAAATAAAATCTTTATCATAGCTACAAGTACTTATTATTTCATTGGATCTAGTACATCCGATATACAAGTGGCATGGCCGTAAGTACTTCATACCAAGCGTATTTTGTTAGGCTATATTAGAAGTAAATCTACTCAAAGATCTCATTCTACGCTGAAGTAGTCATGCGTCATAGATAAAATATTTTTAAACTAGCTAAGTACTGCTTGTACTTAGCTAGTTCAAAAATATGTTTTACTAAACTTATGTATTAGTAGAGCGCGGTTTAAAATATTTCTTTATAATACTTTTCGCCCCTTCGTATACGTAGACATATTTTTTCTAGCCCTGTGGAACCGTACCTACACTATTTTCTCTGGATGTACGATTCCTTATTAATTTTTCTCTGCCTCCTTCTAATAATCTTATATTAAACAATTACAAAAACGACAAGCTTTAATGAAGTGTATTGTTTTCTAAAGTTTTACTTTCGCCGCTGCGACAAAGAAAATCGGGAATAAGTAAAAAATACCAAAAGTTTTACGGAAAGTTAAGTCAGCTGTCTGCGTTTATTTCTGCCTTTGAATGTTTGATGCCGAATCTGCTGCGATAAGTTATTATGAAGTTTAATCCTCCTTCGTTTCGAAACTTCGATTTGTAAGTTATGAAACGTCTGAGGATCCATATTAAGTTGTTAACATTAATATTTTATCTTTATTAGAATTGCCTTTTATACGAGTATGTATATATATTAGGGTGCTTAAAAAAATTTTTGTTACAACCAAGCTTTCAATCCAAAGTTTCGTTTGGATGCCAAACTAGCCCTCTGAAAATATGAGCCATTAATATTAAGGTTGTCCGCATCGCACTTTTTGATTTCCCATTAGAATAAAACAGGATAATTTTTTTGTCGAAAGTAGCCTTCTTCAAAATTATTGGTTAACAGTCCTCAGAAGTCAGATTTTATATATATATATATATATACTCTTTCGTAAATAATAACTTTACACATCTGACACACGGTCGTCTGATTCTAAACTAGATAGAGATTATAGTAACCAGACTGCTGATAAATATACTTAAATATTTCTTAATACATAAATATTATAGATAAATTACATAATACGTTAGATGCACAGGTACCTAACACATGATCCATGACAAAATATGAAAAAAAAAATTTATGTTACAGTGTTTTTTAATGGATACGTTAATATAATTAATAATTATATAATTAATAACGGATACGTAATCATTAAAATTATTCTAACGATTAGTTCTAAAAATCTATAGTGCCACTTTTTAATATAAATGTATTCTTTGAATTTAGAGAATAAAATTTGGTGTGATTCACCGTTTAAGTCATAAACTTTTGAAAATATAGAGCCATGTCAGATTTGATATATATATATCAAATCGGATATAGATAAGAAGCATAATGATATTATTCAAAATCAATCAATATTGATTGATTTTGAATAATATCATTATGCTTCCTGACAAATTATAAAATAGTTGGGTTTGGTAGGTTTGAAAAAGACGTACAAAGCGATATCATAATAATTATAATGATACTCACAATTAAAACCAAAACAAACAAGTAAGTTTGAGTCACGGAGCAAATATTTGAATCTAATTTATAATTATTGTATGTAGCCCTAAAACTTTTGCAAATTTTAAAGTGAGAGACACAAATAGGTTTAATAGGATACAGTGATTAATTATTATTAAATATCCTGCATACTTCGAAAGCTATCGCGTGTTCAGAGCTCCGCTTCATATAACCCGTTTATACATTTATCCACTTTACTTCTCTTACCGATGTAGTACGAATAAACACATAATTTATGACAATCATAAAATCTGACGCGTGATTCGATACTAATAGAATAACCAAGTGTGCAAGGGAAAATTCTTACCTTTAGGCCATACCAAAATAATTTATGGAGGCGACGGGCTATACCCACTGGACCGTAAGAAAGGACTGAAGGATTCACTCACTAGATTGTTTACACGGAGCCGTGATGTGGGTAAAAGTGACGTTTAAGCCGCTTAGTTCCCTGAATATACGCTCCGATGATTGTGACCGTCATTTCTGTACGAGTTCTATTGTATAATATGGGATCGTAAAATCATTTTGTAGGTGATTGTATAATAATAATAATATACATATCTCACTCATCTCACACACGGCCGTCTGATCCCAAGCTAGGCAGAAACTGTACTATGGTAACCAGACTGCTGATAAACATACTCATATATATTTTTAAATAGATACATATTACAGATAAATCACACCCAGACATAATAACCAACCAACACCACTCCTGCCCATATCGTTTAACCAAATACGATGCTGGGTCAGGCAACGGACCTGTGAAGCACACAACCGGAGGTGGAAAAACTCACCCGGCTGCAGACAGTCCAAACTGGTGCTGAATCAAGTCACACCACGACTCACCTGCAGACTGATCAGTCTTAGCAGACCGGAACTCAGAATGGTTGTCGGAACTATTACAGGACATCTAGCCCTGAACCGACAACTATTCATAATCAATGCGACGGACAGTCCCCTGTGCAGGGGATGTCTGGAAGCTGAAGAAACGGCCGCCCACGTAGTCCTGGAATGCGAGGGAGTGGCCACACAACGGGCAAGTATCATTCCTGATATAAAGTCGCTCCTAGAAGCCTGTGAACGCCCCAGGATTCTTCTGCGCTTCTGGAAGGAGCTTGGTTGGCTCACCTAGTCAACCAATCCTCGACGCATAAAGGACCACTCTGAGTCTAAATGCGGAAACCGAAGCCCACAACCAATACAAACCACACCCAGACATGGAAAAAAATGACCGTGCTGATCACACAATATTTGTCCTGGGTGGGAATCGAACCCACGACCTCCGCTTTAGCACTCAGGAACACTAACCACTAGACCCACAATCCCGTAAAAAATTAACATGTTTACTTAAACGCAGAAATGTGAATTTGTTGCATTCTGAAACACAATAGTATAGTACTAACCAGAATGGAACTTTCGCTCAATCAAAGGCACGCTCAGAGTCATGCTTGCTTTGCAGGTGTCCATGGGCGGTGGTACTCACTTACCTGCAGGAGTTACATCCGATTTTATAAAATCGTAATGGAAACAAAAGAAATAATAATTATGACGGTACCAGAATCATTTTGAATAGCTTTTTAAATAGACTGAGTTCCCGCGAACTATAGTCGAGTGTAATGAGTTCAGAAAGTTGTCAACTTGTGATACGGGTGCTATT